AAAAAAAAAAAAAATTTCCAACCAGTCGGAAAAATATTTTCCCACCAAAAAGGCGGGAAAACATTTTCATCAAAAACTCGAAAAATGCACACGTGTGGGGAAAATCCGAAAAATATTTTCCGTGGAAAATTTCGCCTATCAAACAGCCAAAAAAATGGAAAGTGGAAAATATTTTCCTACTTCCCCAAAAAATATGGCCTATATATCAAACTCGGCCTAAATTATTTGTACTCTTTTTCCTTTATTTGGTAGGTTTGTTCCTTTAAATTTTTGTCTAACAAAATTTTTAATGAGTTAGCTATTGTATAAATAATCATTCAAGGGGAGTGTTGTAAATAAAGTAGTGTTTGTGAATGAACATGTACCATTGCAGCCTTAATTGTAATTGTAAACATAAGAACATTGATTTTCAATAAAATACATACACAAGTGTCTTAATTTCTCTATTTTTTTCTATTTTGCTCTCTATTTTATGACAATAAAGATTAATTAAAAAAAAAATTAAAGATTGAGTTTTTGAGACCCCATTTGGCCCCCATTATTTGTCATTATTATTTTTGGAATAGTTTTTTTTAAAGAATGTGCTCTTAAAAGAAAGAAATTATTTTGAATTTATGTATAATTTTATTTTATTGAAGAATCTGATAGAAACAAAGAAAAAATGAATTATAATTTTACCGAGCTAATTCATAATTGGTGCCCAAGAAAATCAATGGCCCTAATCACTGTGCTATAACCCAGGGGACAACATAAAATTACTAAAATCTCCCTAAATTCACATATGTATATCGCGCAACTGCAAGCCAGACGATTCGTAAACCCTGATAAAGCTCAGTGAGCCATCCACAGTTGGCTCGGAAATGGACTCACTACCCCCATTTTCATCATCAGTATCGGCGGCGCAGCTGGCGGTTGCGGCGTTGTTCGGCGCTTCGGTAATGGCAATCTCCGCCTTCTACTTCCACAAGCGCAGCGTCGACCAAGTCCTCGATCGGCTCCTCAACCTGCGCCGCCACCAATACGTTTCCGATTCTGATGCCGAGGATTCTGATTGTGCAGAGCGAAAGATGAACGTAAATATCTGGAGGGATAAAAATAAATTATTAAATTCATTTGATAATAATGATCATGATAATGAGGAAGAGGAAGAGGAAGAGGTGAGGAATTATACAGTGTCGTGTTCGATGCCTAATGTGATGGTTACAAAGAATGAGTGGAGTAATGAGGATTCTTTAGATAAAATTGATTTGATTCCGTCTAATTTACCACCACTTCGGACTGATCGAAGGGATGGTACGTTTTTCTTACTCGAAATTCTCATTTATTTGCTAATTCTCAATTAATATGTATTGTTATGATAGAATCCTCGATTGCAGTGCAGTTGATTAAGTTTCATCTAACGAGGATAATATATGGGCGTCTGTTACCTCTTGGGCTATGATAAGTGTCAAATTATGTGTTGAATGTACCTAAGAAAAGAATAAAAATAATGAATTTCGAGAATAGGGACATGATAAGATGATTTAAGAATAGCAAGATTGCTTGGGATCTCATTCCAGGATGCCTTATTTGGTGTGTGTGGAGACAAAAACACAGTCGATGCTTTGAAAATGTAACACGGACGCCAGAATATATGTACATGTAGAACGTTTTGTACAACAACATGAGAAAAAGTAAGGTGCCTGGTTTCTTTAACTCAACGTGGCACTAGTTGACACATGATTACTTATCAAAAAAAATAAGATGATTCAAGTTGCGATAGAATTGGTTGGAAATGCATGGAGTGGTTTCGGTGGTTTGCTAATCTTACTAAAATTTGTAATTTTGAAGGTTTACTAGAAATTTGTCTTGGTTGTAGTTCTGATGGGCTGTTACAAAACGTGGAGATACTTGGTACAAATAATCTTTGTTTTGTTTCATTTATTCTTTATAGACGAAGATCCATACATGAGCAGTTGTGATCCAAAAATGCGAGTTGGATCAGCTGGTAGGCTAGTGACTCCACATGCCTCAGGAGGTTATGCATTTGAGAGTGCAGGAGATTCTGATGAGGAAGAGACTGAGCTTGCAACTGAAGATGATGGTGTTACATCCTACGAAAATGTAAAAATGATCTGCTAGTTCTTTTCTCTTTTTTATTCTTAGCTCCCTGTCTTGCTTGCTTGTAATTTTCTAAAGCTTCCTCGTTTTTATATTTTGGTAAAATTTTATGGCACTCTCTTTTGGGCTTAATTGCTACATAAACCTGCTTGTGCCATCACGATGTATCCTTATTTGTGGTCTCATACCCTTAAACTCTCCTAATACCTTATACGTCCTCTGCTAGGCTTCTTATGCAATTATCTATCTAATTCAACATCATGTTACTATCTGCATCTACATGACATTGTCTTGGTATGTGATATCCATTTCAATATATGTCACTGGTTCCTTTTGAGACTGAACCACACATGGTTTTCATTTTTAAGCTATCAAATTTCGAGCTTTGATGCCATTGTATTTCTCAACTTGAGAAAATGAAATAAATGTCTTCCACTTGAAAGCTCAGAGATACGTATTGGTTTTCTTAGTTTCTTTTCTTTCTATTTGGTCTTTCATTTATCAACCTCATCTGCCATTAATGTATTGTCCTTTCTGCCATTATTGTATTGTCCTTTTGAACAATACAGAAAATATTATTCGAAATAATCACATTAGGATTTACTATTCTGTAACATCGCAGGACATGAAATCAACAATTCAAATTCTTCCAATCATTCCAACAAAAGCAGAAAGTGATGATTATGTTCAAATTCAACAACCAGAAGCAAAGCCTAATGTAGATCAAGATGTCAGAAAGGTAGATACAACTTCAATGCGCACTGTGGGATTTAATCCCATTTTTGCCAATAACATTTTGCCACTGCCAACCGTGCTGCATGGTATTCCTACCTTCCTGATCCTATTGAATTTTACTGGATCTGCTTGTCTAACATTTTTTGCTTCTACAATTTTCTTCATTTGCCTTCTTCCACTCAAATCATAAATTAGATGGCATATAGATGACCTTCTACTTGCGTTTCCTATCGACACCGCAACATTAATTATTAGAACTGCAAAATCAATTCCTTGAATGTGATCTGTAAGGGCTTTCCTCGTCTACCGCTGATATGATATGCAAATCGACTTTCCCTCTCTAATAATTGCCAAAAATTTTGAACTCAGACGCAATGAATGTTGAAGAACAAGAAGTCCTGAAGATGATTCGTGAATGTTTAGATTTGAGGGAAAAATATGTTTTCAGGGAAAATGTTGCACCGTGGACTAAAAGTGTGGGAGAATCTAGCAAATCAAATGTCATTGATGATCCATTTCGCTTTGTCCCTGTTGAAGCATCTTCTGTGAGTTGTCCTTTCTCATTCAACTGCATAGAGAAGTCATCAAGCCATTTATATTTTTGTAGGCAATCTTATCTAATATCATTTACATGAGCTGCAAGCAGCACAATTTCAGAATGGAAGACGGCGTGGTGCACGTTTATGCAAGTGAAAAGGGTAAGCTGTGAGGAGCAGTAGCATTACATGCGTTACCATTTTCAATGTATCTTTTTCTTTCATGACGACATTGAAGAATAGGTAAATTGATTTTTTCTTCAAATTCTAGACACTGAAGAACTTTTTCCCGTCGCGAGTTCAACAAGATTTTTTACTGATATGCATCATCTTCTGAAAGTTATGTCCATTGGAAATGTCCGTTCTGCATGCCACAACCGATTACGATTTCTTGAGGAGGTACTGTTCTTTTGTGCCCCCTTCACGTGGTTGTTTATTGTCTCTTCATTTATATAGTCCAGTTATAACTTATATGTGATACCATGCAGAAATTCCGCCTTCATTTGCTGGTGAATGCAGATAGGGAGTTTGTGGCTCAAAAGAGCGCACCCCATCGTGATTTTTACAATATTCGAAAAGTCGACACTCATGTCCATCATTCGGCTTGCATGAAGCAAAAGCATCTTCTCAAGTTCATCAAGTCAAAATTAAGAAAAGAACCCGATGAGGTATTCAGCTTGATACTTTTATTCAAAGCTTTCCACTCTCTTTGATTGCAACGTATACCTTTAGGTTACAGACACAACTGTATTTTTAGTAAGTCTCTTACGGATTTTATGGAATTATGTGATCCTCATTATGCTGCAGGTTGTTATATACCGTGATGGGCAGTATCTTACGCTGAAAGAAGTCTTTGACAGTTTAGACTTAACTGGGTTTGCACTGATTATCAGCTTTTGTATTTTTCTCTGGGGGTCACTCTGTTTTTCATACTTCTTAGGAGCATATTAGTAAATATTTCTATTGCAGGTATGATCTTAATGTGGATTTGTTGGATGTGCATGCTGATAAGAGTACCTTCCACCGATTTGACAAATTCAATCTCAAGTATAATCCTTGTGGACAGAGTAGGCTTCGAGAGATCTTTCTAAAGCAGGATAACCTCATCCAAGGTCTGTTTACAGGGAAGGAACACGCGCACACAGACATTTAATTGCTTATCTAGAGAGTGAGTGCTTGATGACATCAGGAACTATGTAAAACCATATTAAATTTACTAACACGAACTAAAAACTCCAAGACCCCCTCCGGTCCAGCCTGTTCCACTAAAAGTTACCTCTTTACTAACATAAGTTATTTTTCTGGAAAGTAAGTTGTAGTCTAGTAAATCTTTTCTTACTTCCTAGAAAAGTAACTTTTAAGCTTTGCTAAACAAGTAAACATTAAGGATAATTTTTTATTTGCTTGCTTAGCTTGGATGAATTTTCTGGGAGGGAGAACTGCATGATGCTTGCTAATTTAGTTAAGATTTCTCATTCTGAAATTCTTGAGCAGCATCAGCTGATTTACTTAACATTGGGAAATAGGATTCTGTTCAAATGAACAGCTGAAAGTGTGCTCTACATAGTTATTGAATTTATCACCTAGATGGTCTTTCAAAGCTTTCCCTTCATACCTATCTAATATCTTTATGCTAGAGAATAGTTTCAGACTTGCAGCCCAACTTCAACGAAATAAGATAATTAAGGTTCTAAAACATTCAACAAGAATTTGGCTACTTGCCATTTGAAATCAAAATGATACAATTGTTTTTTTCTTGTTTGTATTCTGCTGACCTATTAGCATCATGTGCATTTACTTATTTGTCACAAGTTCATCTTCCTATCAACTAGGTCATAGAATATGTATCTTTTTCTCATTGTAGCTTTTTATTATTTTAGGACGTTTCCTAGCTGAAGTGACTAAGCAGGTTCTGTCAGATCTTGAAGCAAGTAAATATCAGGTGTGCTTGCAATTTTTGCATGTTTTTATGAGACTTGTATTCCTTTAGGCTTTTCCTATATTTGAAGTTTCACTCAATTTTTGGTTTCTTCGGGAATCATAATACGTTACTAATTATTTTATACATTCAAAAGATCTCCAACTGACTATATTAGCCAAAATAGATGTTCAATCCTTAAAGCTTTGTAGGCATGAAGTTTTCTTTTACACTAGGTGCTTATACCTCTTTGGAAACTTTGGTTGGTCCCGCAGGAGAAGATATTTATTCTCTATGGATAAGTGACAAATTATCACCTTTTTTTTCGTGTACTAGAAGATGAAGATTTCTCTTTGTATTCTACACCAAGTTGAATTGTGAAAATGAAAGATGGTAACTCATATCTGAATATAAAAGTTTATCTCCACATATATGGCATCCTAAAATTGAAAAAATTATGGTTAAGCTTCTTTCCTTCGGATGTTTGTTGTTCATATTATCACCGAATTAGTTTACGATTTATTCCTCAACGAGAGAGCATATGGCTTCCTGCACTACAGAGTTACTGCTTTAAAATGAAATATGTTGATTGGCCTGACATTGGATGTTCATATCATTTTTAGGAATGTATTATCTTATCAACAACTTGAATTGGCTAATATTCACCCCAACAACCACCACCATCAAAACAACAACCGAAAAAAAATGCATTGATACACAGTCCAAAGGAAATTTCAAGTCAATATTCTCTATCAGGGGAACGACTTTTCAAATTTACTCTTGAGAAGCTTCAAGACCATGTGTGTGGGAGCAAATATTGATAATAAATAGATATGCAAATGAAGCCATCAGTGTTCCATAACCTAATAATTGATACTCTCTAAATTCAGGTACTAGTAGGGCTAGACAAAAGTTTTGGCCCAAACCTGAACGGAGTGGTTCGATTCGGTTCTTTTTGAGTTAAATATCTAAATGGATATTAGAATTGAGAACTGACGAGTTTGGTTTGGTTCTTGATTTTAGACCAAGAATAGAAAAATCGAATCTTCCCAATTTTTTTATATTAAATATAAGCCAAAATATTTAATTATTTTTCTAAATAAATTTTCTAACTAATTAATTGAACCCAAAAGTATCATTTTTCCTATTTCATTTGTCAACTAATTAATTGAACCAAAAATATCATTTTTCCTGTTTTCAACCCAATCCCAACTTTGTAATTCAAATTTCAAGAAATCAAAATTGAGTGACCTAAGTTTTTCGCAATCATTCTATCCAATTATGTTATTTTGTATAGTTAAGATTGAATATATCATTAGTTGGATTAATGTGGTGATGTTGTAAATGTTTAAAAATTTTAATTATGGTACGAAACTGAACCTTCCATAATTAAATTTGAACCCGATGGTTCCAGTTACTAAATACCAAAAAATTCACTGAATCGGACCACGTCCAACCCTATGTATGAGGCAATCAGTTGCTAAGGACTTGTATGTCCTCATAGTATTTGGGAAATATCTGGAAAACTTATTCTCCAACCTTTTGATTACAACTGTCTTTTTAATATACTTCATCTAATATTCTCCAAGCTTAATGATTTTGGTCAACTACAACATTACTGTATAATGAAGTCGTGCGTCTCAAATTAGTCTAAGAGGCATATGCAAAATGTCCACTGCATGATGGAAGAAGCATACTGATATAACATTGGACATCTCTAATTTTTGTCTGATTGAAATTATTGTGCCGCTAGGCTTAAGTATCTTGATGAGATTATTTGTATAAAACATTTTTTTCCTATTATAATCAAGTCGAATACCTTAGGAGCTCTCTTGATAGAAAACTACATAAGTGGTCCTTTTTTTTCCTGTAATTGCAATCTCGCTTTAGGATCTGAAACGACTAATATGTTTTTATGTCTCAGGACCTGGTATATTAAGCTTCTATGTTGCTATATATTAAAATGTAAAGATTTTGTCATGTTGTTGATAATTGTACTTCATTTGCAATGGTAATTTGCCCGAAATTCTAATTTCATCATGCTCCTTTCAGATGGCTGAGTATAGGATTTCAATTTATGGAAGAAAACAGAGTGAATGGGATCAACTAGCAAGTTGGTTCATAAACAATGCAATTTATAGTGAAAATGCTGTTTGGTTGATTCAGGTAACCTGGAATGATACTATTGGTTATGTAACTGTGTCTGATGTCTGACTAACTATAATTTAATTGTTATTATCTGATAGTTCACTATGCTTCTTCTCATCCCTTTCGTACCTTTATGTGAATACCATTACAATTGACTCAATGTCGGAAACTGGATGTGAACATTACAATTAATTGTGGTTGCTAACCATTTTGCTGCTTTTATTTTTGATGACGAAGATTTTTTTATTGAGAGCTATGTATTGTGTAGTAGGCGGGCAAATGGAGCCATGCCCCACAAAGATACCTTTTGATGGCAGATATGACATGGTTCCACAAGCTAATTTTCTAAAATAATTTACTGATTACGACTCAAATATGTAGTTGTCCTGTCCATTGTCCTTGAATAGGTTTCCTGAGAATGTTGGTTGCAAAATATTTTGAGGCTTAGTGGAGGAGAGGTGAAAAGTTAGATGAAGAGAAAACTGTATATTTTCTTACATATAATTTACGACGCAAGACATCTACTTATAGAACAAGAAAGGAAATAATAAAAGGAAGAAAATAATTTCCGACAATCTCTAGAGATTACAATATTTTATCTATGGAAAGATGAGTCAACTCCAATAATTCCTAATGTTGGGCCCCAATCATCTTGGGATTTCAACACTCCATCTCAAGTTGGATAGTAAATATTGATCATATTCAACTTGAAGACGAAATCTTAAATTTTTATCTAAGTAGTCCTTTGGTGAAGATATCTGCAATTTGTGCTTGTGTGGGAACATGGGTCATACAATATTTCCTTCCCCAACTTTTTTTGCTAAAGTGTCTGTCCACCTCTACATGCTTAGTTCTGTCAGACTGAATTGGATTAAGGGAAATGTTGATTGCTGCTTTATTATCACAATATAGTTTGATCAGTAACTTTATTATGATGTGTGATTCTTCCAGAAGCTTCTCCAACCATAGCCTTTCACATATTTCTTGTGCACCAGCTCTGAACCCAGCCTCAACACTACTTCTAGCAGCTACATTTTGTTTCTTGCTTTTTTAAGTTGCCAGATTTCTTCGTACAAAGGTACAATAACCAGTAGTAGACCTCCTATTGTCTACCGATCCTGCCCAATCTGCATATGTGAAAATTTCAACTTCTTTTCTTTCATCCTTTTTGAAGAGTAATCCCTTTCTCGATGAGCTTTTGAGATATCTCAATATTTTATAGACAACTTCTAGGTGACTTTCTTTTGGACAATGTATATGTTGGCTTACCAGACTGATTGCAAATGCGATGTTAGGTCTAGTGTGTGACAGGTAGATCAATTTTCCAACTAGTCTTTGATATCTATCATTTTTTATTGGATTTCTCCACCTTTAGTTTTCTTTCCCACATCAACAGATGTAACGCTTGGTTTGCATCCTAACATGAGTTTCAGTTAGAAAATCAAGGACATTTTTATCGTGATATACTGATATCTCGTCTCAATCTAGCAACTTCCATTCCTACGAAATATCACCCAGATCCTTCACTTCAAATTCAGTGGTAAGACTCGTCTTCAGTCTTTCCATTTCTACTATATTGTCTCCTATCAGAATAATATCAACATATACAATTAGAATGGTTTTAGTGCCGTTTTCAAATAGTCGAAAAAACATAGTGTGATCTAACTGTTCTTGGCCATATCCTTGACTTTTCAACGTGAGCGAATATGTCAAACCGTGCTCTCTATGACTGCTTGAGTCCGTACAAAGACTTTTTTAGTTTGTACGCCCTTTTTTCTTCATTAACTTTGCAAAAACCTGGTGTTAATGTCATGAATACTTCTTCCAATTCCCCATTTAAGAATGCATTTTTACTATCCAGTTGCTGAAGCTGCCACTCCAAATTTGCTGCTAGTGATATAATGACTCGAACTGTGTTCAACTTAGCTACTGGTGCAAATGTTTCTGTATAATCAATAAGCCATATCCTTGACTTTTCAACGTGAGCGAATATGTAAAACCATGCTCTCTATTACTGCTTGAGTCCGTACAAAGACTTTTTTAGTTTGTACGCCCTTTTTTCTTCATTAACTTTGCAAAAACCTGGTGTTAATGTCATGAATACTTCTTCCAATTCCCCATTTAAGAATGCATTTTTAATGTTTAGTTGCTGAAGCGGTCAATCCAAATTTGCTGCTATTGATAGAACTCAAATTGTATTCAACTTTACTACTGGTGCAAATGCTTTTGTATAGTCAATGACATAGGTTTGTGTGTAGCCTTTTGCAACCAATCGAGTTTTATACCGTTCTATTGTTCCATCAGTTTTGTATTTCAAATTGAAGATCCATTTGAATCCAACGGGTTTCTTTCCTTTCGGTAAGTTCATCACTTCTCAAGTTATATTTTTCTTCAACACTCGCATTTCTTCCAATACTGCTTCTCTCCAATTTGGAATCCCCAAGGCTTCTTGAATAGTTCTTGGGATAATTGTGATGTCAAGGTGAGTTGTAAAAGTACGGACTTGTAGATAAAATATTATATGACATGAATTTCGAAATAGAATAGAGAGTGCATACCATACATTGTCATGTTTGTTTTCCGAGAGCAATGGGTAAGTCAGTATCAGGTATCTCCACTATTTTACGAGGATCTGGAGCTACCATTGGTTATGACTCTCTTGGTGCTTTAGAAGTAAGATTCTCCATGTACTTTGATTTTGGCTTTCTTCAATAAACTAGTATCTTCTCATCGTTTTGTTTTTCTACATATTTCCCTGTATTCAAGTTCCTTTTCATCAATGGCATACATGAATCGGATGGTGGAGTAGGTAGGATAGGTTCAGAAGGGGAGAGACTGAGGTTAAAGAACCGTTCATGTATCGGTTCTTTGACCTCAGTCTCTCCCTCTTTGAAGAGAGATGTTTTCAAAGTATGAAGTATTTCCGAAGAAGGTGACATCAAGGCTTACAAAGATCATAACATTTGTAGCCTTTTTGTGTAGGAGAATATTCGATCAGAATACATTTAATAGCTTAGGGTTCAAGTTTATTTCTGTGATGAGAGTGAACGTGAATGAATTCGGTGCACCCTAACACTCTTAGGGCTTGATTAGAGGTGAGACGAGAAGATGGGAAATATTTTGAAATTTTTGGAGGTGTAAACAAAATTTAGAGCACAACTAGGCATCTGGTTGGTTAGATATATGGATGTAAGGATAGCGTCCCCTCGGAACATTTTGGGCATGTTTGTAGTGAACATTAAGGCTCTAACAACTTCTAAAAGATGTCTATTTTTGCGTTCGGCAATCCCATTTTGTTGGAGAGTGTCGACGTAGTGGCTTTGATGAATTATCCTGTGTTTGGAGAAAGTCTCCCAAGATGTGATTGAAATGATAGTTATTAGACCCAACCCGGACAAGATACTGGGTCTCGGGTTACTGGTTGAACCGGTGGGTCAATGGTCGGACTAGTGGGTCATTGTATAAAAATCTATAAAAAAAAATTAAAGTATAAAAATTTTTTTCGGCAAAATTATATTTCACTAATTATTTAGGTCTATAAAATAAAGTAAATTTTTTGACCAAAGTTTTTATAAAAATACTTTTAGAAAACATATATATGATAAATTGGATACATATAACTTATTGCACATAATAAACATTGAAGTACTCTACAACTCCAATGGTGAGGAACTAATTGTTTTACTTAATGGTCCAATGTTTAATTCTTTGGACCCCCAACATTTTAAAAGACAATTTTGAAAACCAGTCAACCGATCAGGTTAACTCTGTCAAAACCACTGTTTAACTCGGTCAAAGCCGATTTTTTACCGAGTCATGTGCATTCCTATTAAATTAATTTACCCAACCCCGGACAAGGACCAGAGTCACCGGTTTTCTGGTTCGGGCCGAATTTTATAACTATGATTGAAATATTTAGTGTCATTATCGGTATGTAAAATTTGAATGTGTTTGGAATTGCGTTTGAATCATAGAATGGAAGTTGATAAACACGGTACGAACATCGGATTTATCTTTTAGTAAATATACCCAACATATTAGAGTGTGATCATCAATAAATGCAACAAACTACTTTGTGTTGGTACGGTTTGGGACTCGTGAGGGCCTCATACATCACTGTAAATCATAGCGAATGACTTTGATGGTTTGTGTATAGATTTTGGAAATGATGTACGCTGATATTTTGCAAGCTCACAGATTTCACATTGAAAATTAACTGACTTTCCATTCAAGAAAATAGAGGGGAGTACACGTTTAATGTATTGAAAGTTAAGGTGTCCCATTTTAAAATGCCATAACATAATTTTACTATCTCTAAGGTGAGATAATCCTTCCCCGATGATAGGTCCTTTGCATAAGCCTTTTCAAAGTAGTAGAGTCCTTCACTTTCCTTAGCACTACCAATCGTCTTCTGCAATGATAGGTCCTGAAATATACAATGAGATGGAAAAAAATTAGCAGAACAATTGGAAGTTTTTGTTAACTGGCTTATTGATAGTAAATTGCACGACAAATTTGGGACATGAAGGACTGATTCTAAAGTGATAGAATTAGAAATTTGAATATTCCCTTTTTCCGCAATTTGCCGCCCCTTCCGAATAAAAGCCCATAATTTCAGGCCCAACACCAGAAATTTTAAATAATGCATTAGAGTTTTGAGGCCTACCCTTTTTAGAGACAGGCCCATCACTTACTGGCCCATGACTTGAAGACCCAAACCATTTGGATGATAAGGCTGAACTCTCAATCCCGATTCTAGGCGATTCTGAAGCACCACAGATTTCCCGCTAGTTTTCTTCGTGTTGTACCTCTGCAAATACCTTCGGCGTCGACGATGAGGGCTCCCGCGTCAAGATCTCGATGCAGCCCCTCCAAGAACTTGAACAAGCTCTCATTTTCCAATTTTTTCTTGAACCAAGCACCATCTCCTGAGCATTACCACTCTTCCTCAGAGCTCAAGTCGAGTTCTTGACACAAAGCTGTCATCTCTATGTAGTATTCAGTTACTTATTGTTCCCCTTGTCTAGTTTGCTAGAGTTTGGTCTTGATTTCAAAAATTTGGGACAAATTTTCAGAATCTAAATACGTTTCCTTCACTGCATTCCATACGTCCTTCGTCGTTGGTAGGAAAAGGTAAGTCTTTCCGATGGATGGTTTCATGGAGTTTACTAGCTAAGCAGTCACCATGGAATTTTCTGATCTCCATTTTTTAAGAAGAGCAGCATTGGTTGAGGCCGGCTTCGTTGTTTCTCCCTTGAGGTAACCCAATTTCCCTTTCCATCAATTATTAATTTGATCGACTGAGCCCATTCACGGAAATTCTTCCCATTCAGTTTTTCAATTGTTAGGTGGAAATATGAATTTTCTCCAAAACCTATGGCAGATGGAGTTTTAGACTCGCCATTCAGAGAGTCAGAGATTGTAGATCCTTTGCTATTGGCGGTGGCCTTTGACATTATTTTGCTAGATTAGGAAATATTCTACAGCTTTGATACCATGAAAAGAAAACCATATATTTTCATATAATTTACAACGCAAGACATGTAGTTATAGTACAAGAAAGGAAATAATAAAAGGAAGATGAATCAACTCCAATAATTCCTAATCTCTAGAGATTACAATATTTTATCTATGGAAAGATGAATCAACTCCAATAATTCCTAATCTTGGGCCCAAATCATCTCAGGATTTCAACATTAGACACTGGAAAGTGATGTCTTTGTGAATTGCCCAAAGAAATAACACTCATCTTGCAGTTTCACTGTCTGAGTGCCCTTAAGTTCTCATGCATTCTTGATTCAAATGGTTATAATTGTTAAGGAAACTCGTGCCTAATATCCTTATAGTGTTTCAGTAAGAATCTCATATAATCGAGGTTATGGAAATGCATAAGAGTACCTTATCATTGTGCTTCCTTCTATTTTCATGTGGAACTTTATAATTGTGTCTGATAAAATTGTGTCCATCTTGAAATGTGTTTGTAAGATGTCATCCAATGTCGATTGAGTAGGAATTTTCTTTTATAAGAACTTAGATAGACTCATCAACTGGTTGCTGAATTTGTCCAATAGGAGGCTGGTTTCTCACATTTCTCTGCTGCTCCCCCCTTTGTTCCCCCACTGGAGGAAAAGTGACACCTAAAACACCAGCCTGCTCTAATCTAGAGCACAACTGAGTGATCTGTTGCTGCAGGTTCTGAAAATCTTCCCTGGTAACTCCTTCAATAGCTGCATTGTTGCCTTGTCCAGCCATCTGGCACTAAATACAGATCTTAAGCAAGCTCTGATACCACTTGACGTAGACAGATTTAATACTCCAATCACCGTTGGAGTCCAGATTTCTTTTAAGGCAGAATCCTGGAAAAAAAAACCTGAAATTTCAAAGCCAGAGAAATAAAACTTGATACTTTATTTGATAATAATGTTCTGCCCCCCTTTCTTTCGTGTACAGACTCCTTTATAGGCAATAATGACTTCTAGAGACTTAAAATGACTCTTAGTATTACTAAATGCATATTAATTTAATCTAGGAAAGACAAATAGACTTTTTGACTATTTGACTCCTTCACTAAGACATTAATTAATTCTGCATCAGATGCTCAGACTTGGCATTCTTGCCGGCATACCCGTGTTGACACGACATGGGTATGGATATGAAATATGGGGCCGATCGTTCAATTTTCGAGTGGGTATGACAATTATTATTAACAATTGTTGTTTCTAACTTTTATTTTAATTTTTTGCTCGTCATATAAATTTATGCTTTTTTGGTGTTTTAGACTTCTAGTATAATTTCTAGTTGGTTTTACTTTTAAGTAGGGGTGGGCAATGGGTCGGATCGGGTTAGGTCCAAAATCAACCCGACCCGATATTGGGCTCTTTTACAAACCACCTGAGCCGATTCCTACCCTAAACCGAACCGACCCGACCCGACCAGTAAGAAAGTAGAATTACCTCCATTGCCAAGTCCGAAACTCTGGAAACTCTAAAACCCACCATTGAGAGTTGAGCAAAGCGAGGTTATCAAGATTGAGTTCTTCAGTCCAAGAAGTGTAACGCTTTTTGGGCTTCTTGATAAGCGTTTCTTCCACCTATTCTCTCCAATTGTAAGCGGGTTTGCTCTCTCTCCTCTTGTTTCTCAGTTGCCTTCTCTCTTTAGCCGTGAGGGAGCTTTCATTGACTGATTCAATAGTTGCAGCGATTGTGGAAACTATGGGTTTATGGGTGTGGGTTTTGAGAGTGGTGGGAGAGGGAATAGAGAGAAAGCGAGAGCAAGAACTCCATGAGAGGAGACTTTTCTTCATCTTCTTTAATTACATACAGTCACTGGAACAAGACGTTACTTGATAGTGGATAGCGTATTATCTTTTTTTCTTAGAGCACTTAATAGTGGAATGTGATGGGATTAGAGATATTAAGATGATTGTGAACCGTGTGAGAACAAATATGATAAAAGGGGAGGATATGATGTCGGTTTTGGATGTTCAAGAAATGTTGGGGTTGCCGTTGGGGGTGATCCCAGAGGATACTGAGGTGATTAGGAGCTCGAATTGGGGGTATCCATTGGTTTTGAAGCGTTGGCCGGGTTAGCATTTGAGCAGGCGGCGTGGAGGTTGGTGGTTTCCAAGCCCAGTCCTATGAAGATGAAGCCAGGGTTTTGAAGCGGGCAGGTTGGGTCGGTTTGTGAGGCTGAATCTACTTGACCCGACCCACAATTGTTTTAAATTTATTTTACCCGACTCGGATTTATCCCTAAATCGAACCGATCCATTTGTCACTTAATTAGGGATAAATCCGGGTCGATAATTTGATAAAAAAAAATGAACTTTTTACATGTAAATCCGGATCACTTAATTATTATTTAACTTTTTACAACTTTTTACATGTAAATTTAAAAAAAAAAAAAAAAATTTACAAGTGTGAGAGATGTACTAACGTATTTATGACTGAAATTTGGACTCTTTTTAGCTATAGCCTTGTATAATACATTTTAGAAAATAAAAAATCTGACACCCGATACCGATACCCATACTCGAGTCCGAGCATTATAGGATGAGACTTTGGCATCATGTATTTGATTGTTGAGTTTGCAGCACGTCGCACATTGGTTGAGTGAGAATTACTCAAGTGGTTTTAAATACTTGGGATGTAATTACTACTTGACAATATGAGCTTCAGCATTTTGAGTCAGCTCATTAATTCCGAATTATGTTGCCAAGTTGGTGTTTTTGTTGGCTATTTACCAAATAAACCAATAGTTTTTTATTTTATTTTTACTGCTACTTCATTCTTGTTTCCATTGTTTAAAAGAGCTATTTGAGGCTTACGTCTTGAATCTGCCTCACACGATTTTTTCATTAAACGCTTCATAACTTTATGCCTTTAGAGCCATTTGCCAATGGTTATGCCTCAACTTACCGAGGCAAGTCTTAGGGCTGCTGAGATGTACACTTGTCTTAAGTTACTAATTTAAGAATTTATTATATTCTAATACATCGATTAATGATTACTAATTTGAGAATTTATTATATTCTTTTTATGTTTCGCAAGTTAGACATTTAATTTTGTTAATTTGTTTTATTATAGATTTTTCAAGGTAAATGATTTATAATGAATGATTTTTACTTTATTGGTTTGTCTTGAGGCTTACGTCTTGCCGCGTGGAGGAAAAGTGTGTGGGATTGCGATTAAGCCTTTTTAAACATTTCTAATCTCACTGAGACTAAAGGTGTCGCTATGTTTCATACCATATACCTTACTGACTGGAATGAAAAAACATTGTTGATGGTAAATTCTGCTCTCACTGAGACTAAAGGTGTCGCTATGTTTCATACCATATACCTTACTGACTGGAATGAAAAAACATTGTTGATGGTAAATTCTGCTGAAAACCTAGTGTATGAATTGGGATCTTAAAAGGGAGCATATGGATGATTCCTGGTCGTAATGGTGCTCGCGTCCACTCAAGTTTTCCCTACAGTTCTATGCTCCATGCTTTATTCATTATTTGCATTTCTTCATGGAGTCAAAAGGATAATAATTAACTCCACGGTGGTCTCAATTCATTTGTCAATGAATGGAGATTGCAACATATTGGTTCTGGTGTAGCAATCATTTTGTGATCCGCAAGTCTCTCTATACTTCACTGCATGTTTACATGGATCCTTGTATCAGGATGATGAATATGCAAGTCCATCCAAGTTGTAAGTGAAGAGAACAAGGTCTGCTTTGGCTGCACAACTCCTACATTTTATTCTCTGATCTGTTATAACCACTTTTAAGTTGTTCTATAGTTTGCAATCTCATCCGTTGTTTTATAAGTTAGTCATCTCAAGAACTACTTGTGGGTCTCTTAGTTTTGTTCATTATTTGAAAACGAAAATGATTTTGGCTTCTTTAGACATTTGATAAAAAATTTATTCTGAAATTTGCAGCTGCCAAGGTTATACAATGTCTACAGGAGTATGGGAACTGCCACATCTTTTCAAAATATATTAGATAATGTGTTCATTCCACTTTTTGAAGTCACAGTGGATCCGAATTCTCACCCTCAATTGCACCTGTTTCTATTACAGGTCTATTTTAAACCTTGATTCTTTGTATCTTATCCCTCTTTCTTTGGTGGAGTATGCTAAGATAATTCTTTTTTTTTTTCTTTTTGCTCCCCACCCTGAAGTTACTTGCTAGAGTTATTGAAATTAACTTAGTGTTTCTTTTGTCTTGTTTCCTATATGATATCGATGCAGAAAATTGTATGCTATGTTTGGTATATTGGATTGGGTTGTATAAAGAATTTAATATAAAATTATAATAGACAGTACTTAATAGATGGTATTATGGTGGATTAAGGTGGATAATATTCTTTAATTTTTCATAAGAAAGATAGTTAGTTGCACAATAAATCGTATAACAAAATACGGAGGTTGGAGGCGGATTTTGGCTGAATAAAAAAATAGATAAATAGTGACATTGTTTTAAATAAAATTCAAAGATTGTTATCCACTATAATACCCTCCACCTAGTAATATTCATTATAATTTATACTAAATTTTTTGATTAATAAAATTATTTGATTATCTATCAAAAAAAAATTTATACTAAATTTTTATCCGGTCTAATCCGGTTCCGCAAATGTGGCGTATATATTTTGATAGTTGCTATGCACTTATGGGTAAAATTTTTGAGGTTTATGTCTGGAGAACTCAAAGATATTTTTAGTATGTCATCTAAGATAACAGGTCTAATTTGACATAATTCTGTCAAATCAATCCAGAGTAAGATTTATTAGGTGATCTTTAATTTGTATGCCATCTTTTTTTCCTATATAAATGTTAGCTAAAGGTAAATCCCCTCTTCAGCAAAGATCTAATGATGATATACATTTGATGCAGATTTTTGGGTTTATTTAACAAGAAATATCCTTGATTTTCCTTCTATTTCCGTTTGAATATAGTTCTTTTGCTTTTACTTCCTGTTTTGACAGGGAATTATGTCATTTTACTGCTCCACTTTGCATACCCAATGAATTTTATGTATAGAGATCCTCCTTTTGGATGCCTAACGTAGTATTCAATACAGGTTGTAGGTTTTGACATTGTAGATGATGAAAGTAAACCAGAGAGGAGACCTACGAAGCACATGCCTAAGCCATCTGAATGGACAAATGAATTTAATCCTGCCTTTTCATACTATGCTTACTACTGCTATGCCAACTTGTATACACTCAATAAGGTCGGTACATTCTTTAACTCAAACTAAAGTTGCATGAGAATGTTAGCTAACACAAACATTGAAGCATGAGTGCTTTAGTGATTACTGAAAATCCTTTCTGGAGGAAGTTTTCTAACATTGGGTTTGCAGGTAAATGCATCTAGGTAAGGGCAGTTCTTAGATGGGAAATAACATTTCATCTTTATATTTCTGCATTTTCAGCACTGTTGTTGAAATACTTGTCAAGTTGAAACCTATGTCTCATGTTCTTTTCAGCTTCGTGAATCCAAAGGGTTGCCAACAATCAGATTTCGTCCTCATTGTGGGGAGGTTATTTTCTGAAATCTTTGTCCCACATCTAGATTCCTTTCAGAATATATTCAAAATATTTTTATCTTAATCCAGGCTGGTGATATTGACCATTTGGCTGCTGGGTTTCTTGTGTGTCATAATATAGCACATGGGATCAATTTGCGGAAATCCCCAGTCATGCAATATCTGTACTACCTTGCTCAGGTCCTTTACTTGACTCGATATTGCTCTCTACCTGGCTGACAATTTTATCACTTTAATGGCATGCGTATGGGTTGAAGCAATGGGCAAGTTGTTACTATTAATATGCTGTTTCAATTTTGCGATTCCAAATAATATATAAGCTCAGCTTGCAAAACATTTATCAGTTCATGGCTATTGTAAACATGCTGTGTTTTAAATCAATTTACATATAAAGTGAACTTGAAACTTAATTATTAGAAATTTATTGCAATTATGTCATGGAACTGTATCAACAAGGTTCATTCCAATTGGATGATTGAATATCATTTTGTCATCTAATCCCTAATCAATCTTAATCATTTTCGTGCGTGCGTCTTTTGCTTTATAAATTTTAAGATGTGGCTGACAACTAATATTAATTTTCAGATTGGTTTGGCAATGTCTCCACTGAGCAACAACTCTCTTTTCTTGGATTATCATCGCAACCCTTTTCTAATGTTCTTCCAACGTGGCTTGAATGTGTCACTCTCAACTGATGATCCCCTGCAAATTCATTTCACAAAAGAGCCTCTTGTGGAAGAATACAGTGTAGCAGCCAAGGTTTTTCTGTTCCCTTATACCTCATATGTCATGGCCTGTGTATGTATCTTACAGAATTATTCCATCTCAGGTCTGGAAGCTTAGTTCGTGTGACCTTTGTGAGATAGCTAGATATTCTGTTTATCAGTCAGGATTTTCACATGCTGCCAAGGTAATAGCATCTCTAGTATTAACTGTTATCATGATAGTTGAAATTCCTGAAAACTTTTCTTATTCGAATGCATACTTCTGCCCACATATTGATACATCAAACAGATTAAAGGATGTCATTTGGTGTAATCCGTACTAGTAGCAAGACTGATGTAGCACGTTGGTAGCCTATTTGAAAGACTACGACCAAGTTGCTTTGTTCCCCAATTGTAAGATAGTTGGGTATTCCACATGCCATTTTCTTTGTCCTCTTTCAATATACTCCCTCCGTCCCATAAAGACAGACTTTGTTTCCTTTTTCATCTGTTCCAAATTATAGGTCACTTTCCTTATTGAAATTATAGATATTTTTTAGTTTTCTAATATGCCCTATTTAATGTACCTTGTTATCAACAAATATAAATTAATTCTATTTAAACCATTATTTAATATAGGGGTATATTAGAAAAAAAATGTAAAAAAAAAATTAAATTTCTAATTATGTGCCCGTTTGGCCCATATTATTCTCTCATTATAATGAGAATTTGATTTTGGAATGGTAGTTTTTTGGAGAATGTGTGGTTATAAATGAACGAAAAATTTTGAGTTTATGTGTAATTATTTTATTCGAGAATATGTGATTGATAAGAAGAGAGAAAAATGAATTATAATTTAATGGGGGCCAAACAAAAGCTATATTTACGTTCTCTTAATTTGTGTGAAAATTGAAACAAGTCTATTTGTATGGGACGTATGGATTATTTATTTTTATTTTTTTTTGGCAACTGTTCATTGGGGGTTTTGGGGGGGATATTGGGGCTTTTTTCACTTTTTGAGGGCGGTGGTGATCTGTCTTGTCCTTTCAGCTCTGCATATGCACAGCTTTCTTAGATGTGTAATTAGAACTTCGGTCATTTTCTGACGGATCAATTCACTAAGGATCCGTTTTATTGCAAGGGTGGAAAATGGGTGGAAAGAAAATGAATTCCAAGGAAAGTATTTGCCTAGAAATTGTTTTGCAGGAAATTGGTAATTAAGTGTATTTGATTGGTATAATTTTCCACCCAGAAAATTTTAAAATACTGTGTTCGTTTGACTTTGTTTTACATGAAAATTGTCCATTAAAATGATAATTTTTTCCACAATTGGTTATAAAACTTGTTTCCATTTTTTACAATTGATTATGAAATTTGTTTCTATTGCAAAAAAAAAAAAAAAACCAATTCCATTTTCCATGGAAAAACAACCATATCAAACAGGGCCTAATTGAAAAGGAGAGGGGCTGCCCATATTATACACACCAATTAAACATACAAACATTACAATCCTGTCTACCAAAAAATCCATCTGAGAACCTATACATACAATATAGGAACTTCAAAACATCAAAAGAAAGAAACTTCTTCCTCTAAGTTGTTATTTCTATTGTCACAACAATCTTGATTAATATTATTTCAAGTAGTCTTAAATGATGAAATTTAGGAGATCAAGGAATGCCGAGTACTCAATTTATTCTGCCCTACCAGTTTGAAGTGCCAGATGATAATATGCTTGACAACCTTGATGATTATATTAGATGCACTTTCCTTGAAATTCATTTTATTTGCATGATAGTTGGATAAATTGATTAAATGACCATTAGTTTCATATACATAGGTTATGACTAGGTATGCGTAGGTCGAGAGAATTCTTGGGTGGTTTTATCACTAATATAGATTTGATTGGGTTATTGTTGCAGTTGCACTGGCTTGGAAACGAATATTTCAAGCGAGGTCCCGAAGGAAATGATATACACAAGACCAATGTACCCAACTCGCGTATCGCCTTTAGACACGAGGTGAGGTTTCCTATGCTTCTTCTTTTGCCTTGTAGCTTTAGTGATTAAAAATGAATGAACCTGCTCAATACAAGCCATATTTCGATAAATAGAAGTTCTTAAACTCTTATATGAGTCATCAATAGATAATATATGTTCCACGAAAATGGTGATCTTTTTTGCAGACGTGGAAGGCAGAGATGCAGTATGTCTATGCTGGAAAACTTGAGCTTCCTGAAATGGTAGACCATTAATGGGAATATAGACACAAGACAAAAAGACCCTGCGTTTATGGTTCTATACAAAGTCGGTGAATCCCAGTTCTTGTGAACTTGCCAGATGTTGAACTGATATTTCATAGTTCGTTTCTTCAGCTGTAAACTTCGCTTGGTCTTGGAGCTTGTAAGAACTCGTGCTCCAATTCGACTATCATTGGAAATCACAAGATGCAATCCTCTCTTATTCCGGGTTGTTGTTTTTCGTTTTTAATTTGCTCTTAGGTGGAAAGGTCGTATTAGTCTTGTTTCTCATTGTTCTATGGCACCATCCGATGCATATTGTATACGGATTGGAACTATAAGAATGTTTAAAATAAGAGCATATCTAATACCCTTGTGCCCTCCATTTTGATCTTAATGATTCAAACCAATATCCTTTCTTCTTTAATGATTAGTAGTGGGAAAAGAGTCGGCCTAGAGGCTAGGTTGGGGGGTCAGAAAATGTGGGCCACGGAGGTGGACGAGGCTGACTATTTTCTTTTACTATCAACAATTTGTTTATATTTGCATAAAAACTCTATCGGAGTTTATCAACCATATCATATTCACTTAAAATGGATTTCCAAATCAAGTGGATTTAGACGATTCATAATTAATAGGGAAATTGGTGCAAATGGTACCTATCGTACGGCCCTGTGTGCAAATGGTCCTTAAAGTTTCATTCTTGGTGCTGACCTCAAAATAATGATTTTGTGTACAAAAAGTCCTTTGGTTGGTTTCCATCCATATAAAGCATATCTATTTTAATAAAAAGATGCTGATACCCTTGCCCATTTATAGATTTAAAGGATGATTTATACAAAATTTCTTAATTCTTATGTTTCTTCGGAATCATAGTCAAAACTTCATATATCAAAGAGACAATAAATATTGTGAGAAAAAAAAAGAAAAATAAATATTAATGGCTGATTGTCATCATTTTTTGGTTGTTATGATGGTAATTTGTAGTTAGTACAATTTTTCTACTTTCATTGCTTATATGTCATTTAGGGTCCGTTTGATAGGTAAAAGTGAAAAGAAATTCAAATTCTATGTTAATTGAAAAATAAAAATCCATCAAACCCATAGGAATTCATTTTTCATGAAAACAAAGAAAATGTAGTTTAAAATGTTTGTACCTTGGAATTCGATTTTCATTTCCACGTTGTAATCAAACGGCCAAAGTGGAATTCGTTTTCCTCGGATATGATATTTTTAATGGAATTCTTTGCAATCAAACAGGCCTTATAGTCATTTTTAAATGTGACAAGTCAATCACTTTCATTGCTAATTGTGTCATTTAATTATAATTGGATTTAAAAAGAAATAGTACTAAATTCAACACATAATATCACTATAAACAAAAAAGACGTCAAGATGATTATCTTTGGACTAACTCTGAAAAATAATCCATCCATACTTAATTGAGCACAAGAAAAAGGAAAAAATTGCAAATAGAATGTTCATTTATATTTTCGACATTATCTTGAATTTTTATTTTTTTTAAAATTCACTTATATCCTCACAAAGAGGCTCGTACCTGGGTTAATGATCGAGGAACATTTTACTCTTAGTACTTGAACTACACTTTGGCATTGGCATTACCGACTTATAGACTTTTAGTAATTCTATTTTTATACTTTGAGATGCTCCGCATTCCAGGGATGTAGTAGGGGTCGTCCCTCCGTATTTTCCAACTCATAGGCTCCTCTAAGTAATGCTTTAGTTACTTTGTAAGGACCTTCCCAGTTGGGTCCTAGGGATCCAGAGTTAAGTTCTCTTGTGCCCAAAAAGACATTTCTTAATACAAGGTCCCCAACTTCAAATTCTCTATTTTTGTTGTAATACCTTGCATTGCGTTGTTTGTACACCGCATTTCTAATTTCTGCCATGTCTCTTTTTTCTTCTATCAAATCCAGTTCACCTCGTAGCACTAGTTCGTTTTTATCTTCCCTATATGCCAAAGTCCGAACTGAAAGGATTTCGACTTCAAGTGGGATGATAGCTTCTACCCTAAAGGCTAAGGAAAATGGAGTTTCTCCAGTACTGTTTGTAAATGTTGTGCGGTAAGACCATAGCACACCAGAGAGTTCTTCTGCCCATCCTCCCTTGAGATTATCAAGCTTTGCTTTCATCGTATGCTTGATGATCTTATTGATAGCTTCAACTTGACCATTAGCCTGAAGGTGGATTGGCGTAGAGAAATGCTTTTGTATTCCAAGTTCTTTACAAAAATTTGTAAAGTGGGCGTTGTCGAATTGCTTCCCATTATCTGATACAATGGAATGGGGTATTCCGAACCTGCATACGATTGACTTCCATATGAATTATGTGGTTTTGTGCTCAGTTATTTTAAATGGTTCAGTTTCAGCCCATTTGGTAAAGTAATTGACTGCCACGATTGCAAATTTGGTGCTCCCCTTTTCGGTTGGCATAGGACTGATTAAATCGTCCCCCCATTTAGTAAAAGGTCATGGTATCATTGCATAATTTAGTTCCACAGGTGGGAGTTTGATGATGGGAGCAAATCGCTAGCATTTGTCACATTTTCTGGTAAACTCCAGCGTATCCTTTTTCATGGTTGGCCAAAAATACCCTTGGCGCATGAATTTGTGAACTAATGACTGTCCTCCAGTATGGTTTCCACATATTCCTCAGTGTACTCTTTCATTGCGTTGAGTGCTTCTTCTTCGTTCAGGCATCTAAGTAGGGGCACAGAATATCCTCGTTTATATAGGACACCGTTAATCAGCGTGTACCTCGCCGCCTTTATTCATAACTTTCTTGCCATGCTGAGGTCTTCCGAGCATGCGCCCGTTTGTAGGTACACGATGATCTCATCCATCCAAGTTGGTCTGGGGTCGGTAATCATGTGGATAGCCTCAGATTCCTTAATAGCGGAGCAGTAAATCCTTCCTATTGGGATACTATCGAACCTCTCAATCCCTTCGCTGGTTGCCAACTGAGCTAGAGCGTCAGCATGTCCGTTTTGAGTTCGTGGGATTCATTCGATTGGGACGTTCTCAAAATTTTTTAGCCTCTTTTTGACAAGCTGAAGGTAATCGTTCATTCTCTCTTCTTTTGCTTGGTAGACATCGTTGACCTGATTCACTACCAGTTGGGAGTTATTGTAGCAATTAGGTGATCAATTTTCATTTCTTTGGCCATCCGTAGGCCAGCGATGAGGGCTTCATATTCGGCCTCATTGTTGGATGCGTTAAAATCAAAGGGTAGCGCTTCACAAAATACTTGTTGGTCTTGACTGATTAGCACAATCCCAGCTCCAGCTTGTTCATCTCTGGAGGATCCGTCCACAAAGAGTTTCCAAGGCATACAAGGATGCAATTCTTCTTTAGGGTCTGAGCTGAATTTGACAATAAAGTCAGCCATGACCTGGGCTTTTATTGAGGTGCGTGACCTATATCTTATGTTGAATTGACTGAGCTCAACTAACCACTTCATCATCCGTCCTGAGGTATCAGCTTTTTGCAGCACTTGCCTTAAGTGGATAATTGGTTAAGACCTTGATTGGATGTTCCAAGAAATAGGGCCTTAACTTCCGAGCTGCAGTAATAATCGCACAAGCCAATTTTTCTAATGGGGAATAGTGGAGTTCGACTTCATGTAAGTCCTTGCTAATGTAATAGACAGGATGTTGTACCCCCATCTCCTCCCTAGTTAGTACTGCACTAACGGCATGTTTAGATACTGCTAAGTAGAGCATCAATACTTCTTTTATTTTCTGCTTTGATAACATCGGTGGTTGCGCTAGGTGGGATTTGAGCTGGTCGAATGCAAGCCTGGCACTAGGCATCCATTCGAATATCTTTCCCTTTCTTAATACATCAAAGAAGGGTCTGCATTTGTCCATTGATTTCGACATGAAGCGGCTAAGTGCAGCTACTCGCCCAGTCAAGCTCTGAACTTCCTTAGGCATAGCTGGGGGACGCATTTCAGTAATGGCCTTTATCTTTTCTAGGTTGACTTTAATCTCTCTTCGATTTACCATATATCCTAAAAATTTTCTCGAGCTTACGCTAAAGGCACATTTCTAGGGATTTAGCTTCATCCCGTATGCCCTCAAAATTCCGAACATTTCAGCGAGGTGTTGTGGATGGTTTCTAGCATCCGTGGTCTTCACCAACATGTCATCCACATATACTTCCATGGTCTTACTAATTTTTTTGGCAAACATAACGTTAACCAAGCGTTGGTATGTTGCCCCAGCGTTCTTGAGGCCAAATGACATCACCTTATAGTAGTAAAGACCTCGGTCAGTGATAAAGGCTTTGTGTTCTTGATCAGGTTCGTACATTGTTTCTGATTGTAGCCTGAATATGTATCCATGAAACTAAGTAAGTCATGCCCAACAGTGGCATTCACCATCTGATCTATCCTTGGTAGTGGAAAACTGTCTTTAGGACATGCTTTGTTCAGGCCAGTGAAGTCAATACACACCCTCCAGTCCCAATTGTTTTTCTTAACTAAGATGGGGTTGGAGATCCATTTCGAATACCTTACTTCTCGAATAAACTCATTTTGAAGCAGTTTTTGTACTTCCTTACTTAAGGCCTCATACCGTTCTGGATTCAAAGGCCGGTGACGTTGTTGTTTCGGTCGAATCAAAAGGTCAACTCCCAATTTATGGCACATGATTTTTGGGTTAATTCCCTTCATATCAGAGTGTTCCTAAGTGCAGGCGTTAAGTTTTCCTTGAAGGAAACTGATGATCTGGCCTCTTAGTGGAGGTAGCAGTTCACGACCAATCTTAAGCTCTTCTGGGAGATCGTTAGTATCGACCTCAATGATGTCCAGTTCTTCCACGGGTGTCCTCCTAACACTTTCATCCGTGGGTCCAACGAGCTCATTGAGGGTTTTTTTGTGCATACCATTCAGATCTCCTGAGGGTAATAAACCTTTTATCCTTTTGAATTGACAACCATTTGACATTTTTTAGCAATGTTTTTATCTCCTTTGACCAGTCCCGTACCATAAGG